TTTGTCTTCAATGTCAGCCAAGTATACTTTGTGTCTGTTCTTCATGCCCCTGAGCTCAGAAGTTACCCACACTGGTCCCCACAATCTTGCATAATGTCCTGTCAAACCACAGAGCTTTTGTATGGCTACTGGTACTCCTTTGTGATCCAGCACCTTGATAATCACAAGGGTTTGTTGGGATGCAGAATCTATGACAAAGTTGCACTTTTGGCCATCCAGCTTTCCTGTCACGTAGACACTATGTGTGCTTGACATTTTACACTTAGCTGTTGGGACTTTCACGATGGGGGGTTGGTGGGCACTCCTCAATACCAACCACTACTGGTTTCCCCAAGGCTGACTTATTGGTAGTATTTTACTTACACTGCCTCCTCATATGACCTTGCTCTCCACATTTCCAACAACCTTTCTGGGTAGCAGCCTTTCCTGCCATGGCATCTTTTCTGTTTCTGCTCAGGTTTGTTACAGTGCCAGCAAAGCCCCTCAAACCTCTCTGAAAGCTGCCCTTTTCTGGTCTTTAATCCTGATGACTGTACCAACCTTGGTACCTCTGTGCTGGACTTAACATAGGATTCGATTTCAAGAGCTCTGGCCATTGCATCCTGCACAGTAGATGGGTGTGCTTGCTTCACTTGTATATTCAGTTGTGGACTGTCCAAGGCATCTACAAACTGATCCATCAGCAACAACTTGAGGACATCAGATGGTGCAGTTGGGTACACCTTGTGTGCCATACTTTCCAAATCCTGTGCCAGCTCTTGCAGGCTCTCCCCTTTAGCACGGACACTCATCCTAAACCTAGCCATGTAGTCTTCGGACAGATTTTAAGTTCCATACCTGTGTTCTATAGCAGCTACAAGTGCTCTATAGTTGTGCCTGTCATCTGCTGACAACTGTCCAAGTATTTCCAGTGGTCGTCCCTACAGGCTCGTTGCCAGGTACACTGCTTTTTGCTCCTCTGTCCATCCATTCATTTCTGCCAGTAGCTCAAATTGTGCTCTGTATGCATTCCACGGTGCCTTTCCGTCCATTTCCTGTGGCTTCCTTCGTACTAGATCACCCCCTATTGCTGACACTCGTGTCTGGGATGTGACTTCTAACAGGACTGAAGATGTCTGCATTAAGGCTTAGCTGCGGGGTGTGGAAGGGGCTTGCCGTTGTTTGTGGCTGATTAAGTAGATGGATAATGTATCCCCCTTATGTAAAAGACAATAAATCATCCTTTAATGTATTTAATTCGCTTTGAAATTTACTTATGTTTTCCATTTGTACTTTTTGCCACTGTTGTTCACTTTCCTGTAATTTCTGCTGACTTTCCTGCAACTGTTGGAGTCTTTCTTCCTGTTTCCTTTCTTGTTCTAGTTGCCACTGCTGTAATCTCTCTTCTTGTTTCTTTTCTTTCTCCTCCAACAACTGCTGTAATCTCTCTTCTTCTTTATTTTTTGTTCAAGCTGCCATTGTTGCAGGTTTTCTTGCCACTGCTGTAATCTCTTTTCTTGTTTCTTTTCCCGTTTCCGTCTTTTTTTCTTTTCTTTTTTTTTATTCTACTTCTGACACCAATTTGTTACATCTCTGGTCGTTTGTTAATTTCCCGTAAAAATTCCTTCCGAAAAACTTCAGCGATACAAGTCCTTTCTTAAATAAAACTAGTTTATTCTCTTTCAATACAACTTTGCAATACATTTAATTTCCACAGTCATTTTAACTTAAACACATGCTAGAATTCACAACAATTCATGCACTTTACTTACGGTTTATCTCGATTATCTGTCCCTATATCTCTCTGTCTGCAATTATTCTCTGTGCCATCAGTTCTCGCCGGTCATATATATATACAAAATAGAGGGCATCTAGCAAACACTCAGCCTTCATGAATGTTCTAGATACTTATTACGTGTTACCAGCGTCACGTGAATTCTGTTGTCGTAACACTATAATAGGCCTTCTCTTCACATGCCTTATCTCCTTCTACCTTGACCAATTCACCTGGCTTGTCTATTCCAGAGGATATGAGAGATTTTGTCTTTTTCATGTCACCCTCCCTCTAGTTTGTCATTCCATAGCCTTTCTTGCTTCTGGCCATAATCTCTGGATGAGATATTGCAAGCAGAAAAGTGACCCCCAGCACCTCTGGGTCACATTCCTTACACCACATTATGGTTTCTTTTGCTTCTGGCTTTCATCTTCCTCCAATTGCCATTCTCCAATCTTTCCAGAGGCTAAAAAGAGGTGACCAGTTGATTGTTTCTTTTTCTTGCAAATAAAAAGCAACCACTTCAACACACAACATATTAATGTTCACTGGAGACAATGAGGACCACCAAGTAGCTGATGTTGCCCCACAGGGAATACTTCTCTCTCTCTCGAAATGTACATCAAGTAGGAGATAACTGAAAATGTTAAGCTCATTTGACCCTGCTTATTGTCCACATTGAGATAGCGTTTCCCTCAAGACTGCTTCAGCAGTGACTGAGTTTTACCTACTATCTGTGTTGCTACTTCCAAACAAACAAAACACAAAACAGCACTAAATATGGGCCTCATTCCTGGCCAGCTTCTTCTGTCCCTTTTGAATGTAAACCTTTGCATAGTTTCCCAGTGTTGGACCTTATAACCTTATACTGATGATAATTAACTTCTACATAGTCTCTGCACCTCTGATGTTCTCCCCTACATAAAATACTTCCTACTGTTTTCTTCTAGTGGAGTAAGAAAAACACTCAGTACCAAACATGAGGCAAGGATATCTTCCTGGAGGCCAACCCTACACTAAGAACCAGGCTACTCTCCATGATTGTGTCCAGCCAGCTGGGCTTACATTCTTTGCTGGTCACGCATTTGGGATTATTAATCCCTGCATCATGTTAGTTTTTCTCAACAATTGTAAGGGTGGACTTACTCCCTTAGCCACACTACACATACGTAGAATGCCGACCCCCTGAAATACACAGTCCATTTTAGCAGCCTTTATGTTCCACACTGATGTTTGTGACACGAGCACGATATAGGAGGTTCTTCAATGCTATTTGTACTGTATGAAATGGATGCAGTCTCCCACCAAGTGATGCTCCACTTGCCTCCTTTCCTCCCAATGGGTGACACATACCTTAAGAGTTTTGCTTTATTCTCAGAAAGTAGTTGAATTTTTAAATTCCATTATATACATTGGTTCCTCCACTGTCTTCTCAATGTGGGGTTCTAGCTTTCTTTTCTATGGAAAAATGAGTAGTATTTCTGAAGTTTACACTTTCTTTACCTGAAAATGTGTCTTGTTGTGCCTCATCAAGAATGAGATTTTGGTATACACAATATAGTCTATAGTCTAATGCTGATTGCAGCATAGAAGGTTGCTTTATCTTACCACGTCTAGAGGTGGGAGTTTAATTCAAAGGCTTGGTGCATGTGCAAAAAAGTTTCTACAGTGGCATAAGATATAACTTACCTGTAATTTTCATGTAAGGAAAATTTTAACTATAAGAATTATCAAACTCTTATATTCCAGATCTTGGCATGGAGCCCATCGTTATTCCAATGTCATTTTATTCAAATTCTTCCAGCCTTTCTGTCACAACAAACTTGTATTGAAGTAAGTTAATCTAGGTTTTATAATTCATAGTTTCCTCTTACTACTAAGAGCAGGCTGTTATTTAGAGTGAGACTTTTGTTGTTATCCACCAAAATAATGACGTGTTTGATAAAAGATGGATATACTGACTTTTCCAAATATAGCCAAAGCTGGGCATTCTATAATTATATGAAATATGCAACTATTAGGTAATGCACATATTTCTAGTGAGTTTATTTAATATGGCACATTTCAAATCTAATAGACTTACGTCTGAAATACAGTAAATATTTCCCCGTTGTTTAACCAGCATAAGGATAATTTAACATTATTATCATCATCAAAAAGACAATGTAAATAATAGCTTATATTCTGTTACAGGTCATATATTCTTCAAAGGTACAGTAGTAAGGTATTGAGGTTGTAAGTTGTATCATTAATGTTGTCTTCTGATAAAAACAAGTTATCTACTTTGATAAAAATTTGACCCTGTAATGGTTATAGCTAATGAAATAAATTTTTTGATATGCAATCATTAGAATACTTAAGGAAGAAAACCTTATATGTTCTGTGTTCATTTTACTTTATCATAACATGGAGATCTATATTGTATATAATGAAATGAATATTGTATTGATGAATGACAGTTTATTTTTTCAACTGTCTAAAAGTAACAGATGTTAGTGACAAACAAATTTTTCTGTTCTTTCAGCTGAGATCCATTTATCACGTTTAACTTTGTCAACTGGTGTTCTATAAAATTACGGATTTGTTTAGTCATCATCACTATTGTGGCAGTTAACCACAAAAATCTACCATCTTCGTTTTTCAAGAAAAGTCAGTAATTATCATCTGTTTCCATCTAATATTTTATGATGTCACATGTTCTATATAAATGTGTTAGAAGGATCTAGTTTTAACTTTATAAATATCTTTTTTTTTCCAAGGTGTTTCACACACTGCTTGACCTACCTTGTCTTACAGTAGCCCTGATACTGAATTTCCTTAGTGATTATAAGGGTGAACACATTGAGGCACAGATTGCAAAGTACAGCATGACCTCTAAAGATATTGACCTTTATGCTGATCCAAGTTTTCAACCTATGTTTCAGTTTTTCTTACGAACAACAAGTGGTGTTGGTGACACTTTCAATCGGTATATCTACTTTTTAATCTTTTGTTCTTTAAAGAAAAAATATGAACAAACCTTAGTTTAAGGTATTTTGTACTTAGGCTTATTTTCCATTTTGTAGAAGATTTAAAATAAACACTAAAATATTTCATCATTCTATCATCCAAGAATGTTTTTAAATCAGATAAGCATTAACATTTATCATAAAAGCTTTTTATGAAATTATACAATGTTTTTTTAATAACACAGAATAACTGGAAATTCTGAATGCCAGTTAAAACTTTGCAAGCTTCTGATTTTATCATTTTGTTCAAATCCTTGTAGTTGCCATGCACACCAAAGTATAGCAACTTACATCAGAATAAATAGGGTAAATATTTGTATAAAATTGTTAGGGTTAACTTTCAAGTTACTGTAATTAGCATAAAGAAAACTAGCAAAGGTCACTATCATTGATAAAATGAAGTAGAATAGAGTAAAACAGTATGTTTAGTACATTAACATATGCAAGGAATGATCAATTCAGGGCTATTGTAAGAAATTATATTTTACGCATAAAAACCCAGAGTTTTTAGACTTACTTTTACAACTATAGTGTTTTGGCACTTGTGTATAAAGTTAAAATCATAAATAATATTCAACGTTAAACTGGTACACAATTAAAAACCTTTTATTTCGAAGTTGCAACATTACGACTAAGGATGACGTTGTAACGTCGAAACATGTAGAGTCATCAACTTTTTGAAGACCATAGATAGGCCTAAATAAAATGTTTTTAATTGTGTACCAGTTTAACATTGAATATTATTTATGATTTTACTTTTACAAGTTTTATTCACACATCAGACAAAATTATGTATAAATCCACAAACTTTCTAACAGCTTCATTAAAACCAAATAGTTAAAAAATGTTTTAAGACAGTCTATTGTTTTCCTCAGTGGCTACTGTTTGTTGTGAATCATTATAGGTGATTGATTATGAAGGATCATATGTTATCTCAGTGGTACAGATATCTCTATTCTTATGATTTTTGTCTCTTGCAATATGCCACGATTCGTGAAAAATGCTTTGAAAATTGCTCTTGGCTTTGGCTATAATTTTACTATCTTTTCCTCTCTGTAACATAATTTTATGTAAGAATATGATGTGCTGAGCCCAAAGTTTTGATATGGAAGAATTTAATATCATTTTGATCTTTATTAATACATGTATTTAACATTAAGCCTGTCTTGTCTTAATAGATATCATGATATATTTAAAAAATAATTTTATATACATTAGACATCCTGCTTTTAACCACTGACAATAATTAACAAAGCAGATTCTTTTAAACAACTGGTTTGAATGAAATTATTTTAACATTGTATGTTTTAAATTCTATTTTTAATGTTATTTATCCAGACTTTTTTATACATTTGTTATATGACTTTTACAAGCACTCATACTGAACAAAATAATATATACTTTCCAAAAGCTAGACTTCACCTTACAGCCTGTTAACGCTAGTCCCAAGCTAGCCTTCATCTTACAGCCTACTAATTTTAGTCCCAAGCTAGACTTCATCTTATAGCCTGCTAACTTTAGTCCCAAGCTAGCCTTCATCTTACAGCCTGCTAACTTTAGTCCCAAGCTAGCCTTCATCTTACATTCTGCTAAC